GTACTCTTTTCGAGAAATCTCCCACTTAGCAGAATGGATAACGATGCCCGCGCTAAATGGGCTTAGCGCCACCTATTTAAGGGGCGACAATAAACATGACCGATTCACCTGCGCATTAACAGTGGCAATTGTACTCTGATCAATAAACTGGAAAAAAAACAAAACCCATTTGTTGGCTCGACTAACGAACGCGTGTAACTGATCTCCGCTCTATTACACACCGTCTCCCCATGTGGCTTGTAACTGACTCGGGGACGTTTTGAAAGATTCGTCGGTCAGTGGTCGAAGGCAATACAAGCTTGCCTTGTAACCCAGAGGTGGCCGATTCGTTGTTCCCTTTCCATTTTAACTTCCCTGTGCTTTGGACACCCTTCTGTGCATGTACCAGTCATCCGTTCTATAAACTTTGACTCCCTCATTGTGGTTCTAACAACGGCCTCCATCTGCCTACGAGGGGCCAACCGGATACATCTTCCATCCACTTTGATCTTTTACTGGATGCTCGCGATAGTCAAAAGCTTACAAAGCTCTCTGTGGCATGTAACCGAGCAGAATCCACCCCAATGTGAGATCACCTCAGAGATGTGACATTTCTGAGCCCTTCGTACGTATCGCAATTGTGCTTTGACTTTAACGACTTAGTTGTCATGATTCACAGGTGTTAACCTGTGTCCTCACCATGTTACCCTAAACAATCTCATTTCACAATAAGCCCAATCCGTTACATTAGTATAGCCTTTGTGGCACTGAATTTGCCCCCTTATTGTTGTGCGCCATGTGCTTCACTGCTTCTCGCGTCCTGCACACACGCCGCACCAGTATCTCTCAATAATCGAGATCAGTCGGAATTCTTTGCTTCATCCATTCGTGAGTGAGAGTTCCACGCGCTTAGTTCAGGAATTAGAAGTCGTTCAGGAATTTAAGTACCTGGGCAGCTATATTAGCGCCCGTGGGATCGAACATGAGGTCACGAACCGTATAATAAAAGCTCGAAGTGCTTTTGCCAATCTCCGTCACCTGTGGCGCAGACGCGACATTACTCTTGAACTGAAGGGCAGGGTTTATAACGCAACCATCCGTTCAACCCTCCTGTATGGTTGTGAAACGTGGCCCATCAGGTCGACAGATATAAAGATACTCTAAATAAGACAATAAGAAGACTGGTATTGCGAGATGGTACCATTTCGTGTTATCCGTTCACTCGCAAACTAACAACAGATAGATGAATCACGTGATTCGTCTATCTATTGTTAGTTCGCGAGTGAACAGATAACACGAAATGGTATCATCTCGCAATACCAGTCTTCTTATTGTCTTATTTAGAATGATAAAGGGAACTCAGTGCTTTAAATAAAGATACTCGTCGCATTCGATCATCGCTGCCTTCGCAGCTTAGCTCATGTCTGGTGGGAGCACAGAGTGAGCAATGAGCGTGTTCGGTGTCGCGTATTTGGTGCAGGGAGAGCGAGTGAACCGCTAGCACAAATATACCACGCATCAGGCTCCGATGACTGGGACACATGTTGCACATGCCAGCACACCGAATTCTGCGACGTGCATTGTTTGCGCGCCGGGGGTGCGGTTGGAAGAGGAAAAGGGGAGGCCAAGTGATGAGTTGGTCGAGAAAAATGAAAACCCTTACTTCGCAGTTGGCGTCGGTTAGTGCATTCAGACTGCCTGGATGGAGTCCTAAGGAGGCTGAACACGTTTGGTTGGACACACTTGCTGATATGGCTTGGAGCCGGCCCCAATGGCGTTTGTGTTGTGACTTCCTTTGTCCATCCCCCTCCTGTTTAGCCTTTCCTTCAAATCATGATCTCATTTGCTAGGCATAATATAACGCTTTCCAAGGCACTATAGCCGGCTGTTAGCTTTCCGGAACGATGCCCATCAGTTACTGAGGACTCAGCTGGCGTGTCACTGTTGTATTTTTTCTTGTCTTTAGCATTGCGGCACAATAGCTGTGGTGTTTTCCACCTGCAGCCAACGTGTATAATGATGATGGTGAGTTCATCAACCCAAGCATACTACTTCACGTAAGGGATATGGAGTCTAAGGGAATCATGGACCAGATGCATGATGATTTCCGCTGTTTTATTTTTGTGGATGCCACCTCCGGTTCCTTATGACAGTGTTTAAAACCGTGCAGCTCTCGAGTAACTGTGCACAAATGAACGCAGACTGATATCGATCCACAGCACAACCAGCGCATGTCCCGACGAGGACGATCGCAATTAAAACGAGTAGAAGAGATCAACGAAATCGAAATACAATCAAACAACAGGGGCAAAAAGGATACAATAATACGATGAAGAAATAGTGAGACAGAGAAGGAGAAACAGGGTAAGAATGAGGTAGCAGCCAAAAAACCGACGTCTGTACACACAAAACTGTCACATGAACAGGTCACTAGACAAACTGGATTTGCGCACAAAACAAACGTGGAGATCACAAGCTTATCAGGCCCAGGCACGGAGCATAACCCTTCTAGCGGCAAGTCGTTGAGTGACGAACGACGCGATGATCATTCCCAAAGTGACTGTGGCGATTGCAGTGTAATCGAAATCTTCTTTCAACAGGTCGTAGGTGAGCGATGGTGCAATCCGGGTGAAGAATAGGTCTGGGCACAAAAAAGGATACAGAAATGAAAACGAGGCAACGATCAGAATGTGATCTATATAAACATGAAAAATGGGAAAAGTAACATTCATAAGGAATAAAACGATTTCTGGCGCGTCGGTAAATAAGAGCAAGAGTATGATAAGTGACGGTTCGAATTCCGTGAATTAATCTCATTGCATTCGACATGCCTGGTCAATAATGATAAACGGAACACGTATGATGCATAAGAAGAGGCCTTGACTGTATGGATAAGAAATGGACACGAGTTGTTGGCAACAGTGAGACCAAGTCTTGGAACTTCCCCCAATGACACCGAGGCAACCGACTTGCAAAGCACCTGCTCGAGCCAATGAAAGCGATTCTGATTCATTGGATACTTTAATGTTGCACTTAGTCAGTACGAAACACTTAGTGCTCCTACCAGAAATGAGCGGCAGTTAGCGTGCTGCGTCGCAGCCTGGCTTCGTGAGCTTTTCCACCAACCCACGAGCGGATAACTCGTAATCTCAATAGGTGAAAGCTATGAAAATCTGCACGAGCCTTTGCAATGTGTGCTGCGGCTTTCGCGTTGATGTGAACACCATAAATGATACGGTTACTTAGATATGTGATTAAACTGATCACTTTAAGTAGTTGTTCGGTGATAGTGAGAATTGGTGATGCGTTATACCAGCAATGTGACGGTACTTTGCACTTTAAAGGTGTAAAACACAGACCGAAGCGCGAAGTGCTAACCTCCGTCATCCTATTCACTGATGATCGCACAGCGTGTGTCAGACAACAACAGAGCTGTGGTGCAGACCCATTGATACATGCCAACATTAGTCCTCCCTGGCCGGACTTTTAATTTCCCATTAATTGTGTTGTCGTTTACAAATGCTTTTGTAGAGTGGTGAATAAACGACATAGATGATTCACGTGCTAAAGTGGGAAAATCACGGCTCAACAAATCCAAGAGATTCACATGAAACCCAAACACAGCTGATGTGCGCGACTGAAGTGGAACGCAATTGAGACAGGCGCATGGGGAGCACAGCTTACCTAACCCGTGAGCAAACACGACACTTGTGGATTCCAATCCAGTGGCCGCTGTGCGAATTGCCCGAATGCCCAGCACAGACTGGTTATAGGAGATGACAGCCTGATCAGAGAGGGGCAAAACTGGCGCGTAGGGATGAACGCCTTCCTCCCTGAAAAGTAAACAAATGAAAGGATAGATTAAACCGTAACGCAGAATGCATTAGCTGAACGCCGACTCAAGGTAACGACCCTGCCTTGCCACGCGGCAGCTGGGTATGCCAGGGAAGACGCTCACACATGCGCAGATTCGAAATTGCAACCGTAGGTTTATAACGCAGGCGCGTATCACAGAGAGATAGAAAAGAAGAGAAAGGTAAAGCAAACCAACGATGGATGAAAATGCAGTGCTTATTTAGAACGTAGCTAGTCTGACCGTGAAAAAATAGTTAAGAAACGAGATCAACGTGCCCGTTTGATGCACAGGATAACCCGGTAGCTGGAGCCCGGATGCAAGCAGCTTGACTTGGCTAAACAATTACAACTTAGACAACTACATGTAGGGTAGTTGACACGTGTCGCACGGCAAGGATAAAAAATAAGCAACAATGGCGAGAAGAATGAGGGAAGGGATTGGAAAATAGTGACTGAACTGATCGAAGCAGGGTAACAATTGGATACAAGAAACCGAATGTAAGCATCCCACTGGGGATCTACCACCGTGCGCTGTCGGATACGGTCACTAGCCTTTGACGTGACGATTCCCTGGATCCCAAGCCACATAGCAGATAAGCGAATCATGGAAGACAAGACGAGCGAACTTTGAACTATGTCGTTTATGTGGAACAATACTTCTGCTTTCAACTGCGTGGTTGATGAAACGTGGACAGCCGCACCAAGGAATGTAGTCAGATTTTTTCCAATACAGCAGATTCCATTCCGTAACAGCCAAACCATAGCAAGAAGAGACGGCATCAGCAGTATGCCGGTACGCAGTACGGACGTTTCGCTGCCGCGTAACCGCCACCGGTCGCATGTGGGCTAGGATACGGCGAGGGTCGCTCTGCCCTTACGCAGGCTCGAACCCGCGACGCCGGACTGCAAGACAAGTTCGTTACCTTTAGGCTACGGGCCGGCACAGGAAGACGACTACACAAGAGTCTAACGCAGCGCGCCATCGGATTAATATCACACCACGTACGCAACCAAAAGAGACTCGGAGCACAAAAGCCTTGGCGCCGGACTTCATGTATCAGGCTAAAATGCGAAAGTTGTTGATAAAGGAAACAAGGCACGCATCCGGTAATGCTCTTAAGAGACCAACCAACAAAAGAAACCGTGTGAGAAGAGCAACATGAAGATTGCGGATAACGAAAACAACACACAGATGGAAGGAAATACATGCAAACAGCAGATCGATACGAATCAATCCGGTGTGTCAATCATGGTGCAGGGAACGAAGATCGAGGGATCCACGGTGGTAGGGATAAGTAAACGTGCCGGCAAAAGGAAAGGCAAAAGAGAAAAACGGGTAAAAATTCAAGTAATAATGCTAAAGGGACATTTGCGACTTTCTCACCTATGCGAAGTCCCCTAACGGTTGATGAGCTCGGTCCTGTGGGACTCACATGGATGGAGGTCATGCAACAGCCGCCAAGCCAAGCATTTAAAGGTTTCTGTCACGTCGTCTATTGGTCATCCAAGTGTCCGAAGCAAGTGACTGAGAACGGTTCAAGAAACCAAGTAACCCAGCCATTAGCGTAGTGCTCGGAAGGTGCCAGATAGAACAGTACGGGACTGTATGGTTGGTGACCAAGCACACCTGGTAGTCCACCAAATGTAACGAACGAACCGAAGGCGCGAAAGATCACGTCATGCGCGATAAGCGATGCGACCTTATCTCAAGTCCCCATCCACGAAGGCAACACGGGTCAGCCTGACCAAATCTTGTGATAGTGGCTGAGATCGGGGGCAAATGGAACCGACGCGGCACCGATGGACCGGAAGCTAACCAGGCAAAAACGGAGCACGCACGACTGATCCGATCCAACGCAATGTAGAAACAGAACGTCTTCGGAAAGCGGAAAGATGGATGGATAGACTGTACGGTGAGCGGATGGCATACGCCTGAGTCCACTGCAACAACACACGCAGCTCTGATAGACAGTCAATTGTGGGATCATCGACTAAATGGGCGGACGGCCAATGAGACGCTACTGTGCAGTCTATCCGTGATGGCGACAGCGGGGACCAGTGTAACTATGCACCTGGTAAGCGTGGAGAACGAGCACAAACAAATGAGATACAGCAGACATTACAGGTGAGTTAACGACGGCCAGCTAGTGAACGGACAACAACAAATTACTGTATGTAGTCCATGAATAATCACGACCCTTCCTAATAATGGTTTCTAATCGCCACCCGAACTTTGTTCTTCATTTCCAGAGGCCTTTAAATCGGCCGTTGCCCTTTTCGACGAACACCTTATTTTACAATATCTACTGTAGATATATCAGTTTTGCAAGAATAAGCTGATAAATATATTGTTCATCACAACTTCCAAGGTCACTGCGACCAATATACTCTATCCACCTTTTGAATATAAACGCCGAGATATCTCACATGATTCCCGATCTTCTGTCTTTGGAGAAAAAAGAAACGAATTTTGAAGGAAGATTTCAACGAAACCTTGTCTGTTTTTGATTGGATGCAAACCCCGAAGACTTAGTACAGCATTATGGAATCGTTGCTTGATCGATCGATCATAACTCGAGTTATGACTTCTCATTTTTCTACTCATTTAAAAACTTGACATTTTTATTGATAACCCTCTGATATATTTACCGTTGCTAATGTAAAATGCTGAAAATACGCTTATTTGGGTACATAAGGCTTACACTGACTTGACTTGATTACACGACAAGTCTCTGGATAGATTTCATCACACCTTCGTGGCACATCATTAACTGGACACGATGTGATTATGCCAAACAAGATGCGTGCACAATAAGTACTGAACACGAAAAGTAGTCCGGAGGTATAGGTGCTCAAAAACGATTGACTTATTATAACCAATTCGAAATACCCCGGGTTCCGATCCATACGATAACACTTGCCTCATGGAGGTCGTGTACGCCTAAAACTCGACTGAGAAGCTGATCTCTCACCGTAACCAAAGATGATCGAAGGTTTGAGAAGACAGGCGGCCTTCGTTGACATACAAAATAAACTTGCAATGATGTGACCAACACAGCTGACACACTAACAAACTCTGCATATATTGTACTAAGGCTGGTCCGTAGTTTGTGAGAAAATAGAATCGTAGTAACCTCTTGGAGAGATTTATGCAAAGCTTTAAGTAGTTATTATGAGAACAGTAGCAATGCAATAATCCTCTAGCCTCACCCGAGAGGTAGGGTGAGAAATAAACAAAAGTAGGATGATAGAAAACAAACGCATGTGCAATAAAGGTCCGGTTTTAGACGACACAATTTTGCAGACCTAAGAACAGGAAAGCGTAGGCGATGTTTGACAAAGGTTAGGTCTTGGACCGAATACATGATAGGTCGGAGCGATTGCGACGCTGATCAGGCGTTTAGTTTGTAACCCACGAGGCACCGGCCCGGATCTGCGCAGGTACCAGCAGTTATGGGGTATCCAAATTCGTATGCAACCCCTGACGGTCACGTGGTAGCTCAGGCCGGAAAAATATCTCTCTTCCGTCTATTAAAAAAGGCAGCAAGGAAGGCTTTAGAGTGCCACTGGGTAAACCGGGTTTTCCCAGGAATGTTAGTCTTACGGCACGTAGCCGACTTGACTCGCTGATATCGACAGGACAATTCAGACGGGTGTTCCTGACAGATCGGAACAGTTGGACGAAACTCGCCATATAACCTCTGCCTAAGTGGTCTGTACAGGCAGCTCTAGTTTCTTGTTGGAGTTAAGATACCTGCGTGAGAACCCCTTGTTCTTCCGGATTCAATGGTCGATTTCGTGCTTGTTGATACACTCCTTCTCGGGTCGGTACAGACTTGCGATGTGCCGGCACAAGTGCAATGAACTAACGCTGAAAATGAATGAGCTAGCGGCAATCCACATCTGAGTAGGTCCAGGGTTCGATTGCGAGTGTGCCGAAATAGCGCATAAGGTTGTCGCTTGTTCTCTTCTTGTGTTGGGGTTTCTCCGCCTCTGCAAATTAGAGGTAAGAAGCGCTATCAGATATGGCCTACATAACAACTCAATTGTTTTTCAACTCGCCCTTTTATTTTACATTTCCAACCCCGTCGTCTGATGAGTTCAGTGTTTTATCTATTTCCTTGTAAGTTAAACCTTTACCCCATCTCCAAATTTGTCGAATACTCTAGATAAGACTTGGTGACGTGCATCAAGTCAACTGGATCTGTCATCAGTGCACCTAACACAGCCGATCAGCTGAAGCGAAATGAACAGATTACGCTAACACAATCGCCGTGTGTATTCAGCTGGCGAGTCATGAAGGAGATTGGATCGTTAGAAATCGCGAAAGCGCCGACCGTTTTATCATATGCTACCGTGCTAAGCTCCACCCGCATAAACAGACATGTGTAAGGATTGGAAGATGTAACACCGATGGATAAGGGGCCAGAAATTTTATAATCAGTGAGCAAAGATAATAATGGAGGTACCAGTATTATCGGAAAGCAACTTACACTAGCTCTGGAGAAAGATCCAAGGCGCGACGCGGGTCAAGGAAAGACTTAGGTATTTCGATCAGGGCACCCTTCTGGAGTCCAACTGAAACGGATAAAGCACATGGATAAAAACCATGAGGTAAAAAGGCGAGAATTAATACATTTAAGTTCTTGGTCGGGACTAAGCTACACCGCTGGTGCAGATATTTGGCCTGCAATCTATAGGTCAGCGGTTCAAACTAGCGCAGGTGTAGGTGACCTGGCAGTACCAAAGCTTGCATGTAACCATTGCTGATTGTGTGACAGTAAACATTTTTGTGCTTGTTGCACTGCTGATAGCTTTCCCCTTTGTTAATCGGAGAATGGGGCAGCGGTAGACTCCTGGAAGAATGAACAAAAGGACGCTAGAGGAGGAATGTGATTTTGAAAAAGAGCTCCCACGTTTGTGATGGCGTATAGGACAGTGGCACTTGGTTTTGCTTTTTCTGATATCACAAGTTGTGAAGTACTAAAAAGTTCCTGAAAGCACGGGACAAATAACAGGGGACATGCATACCGATGACAGGTTACTAAATTGTGAATATACCGGGCGTGTTGACTTATGGTTATGTTCGTACGAAATCAGAAGCATACTTGACGAGCAATGGAAATTATTCGAAAAACTGGATACACAAGAATGTAAACAAATGGTCGGCAATGTGCACTTCAGAGTTGTGTGTTCAGCCGGCGCTGGACAATGCAGGTCAGAAGATGAGCTCGCCGTACAACCTCCAGGTGGTGCCAGCTGGGTGGTTCGGGTAAATCTCGTTCCAAAGAATGGTTCGGCGGCAGTGTTTCAGAACGTGGTGGGTTTCCGCCTGGCAAGCGTTCTCCTTATAAATGCCACAAGTATCTGTGTAACAACACTGCGACGTGGCGGAGATGACTCGCCACCAAATAATGTCCTTGCCTTTTGTGTAGATTCGTCGCAGTTAGACACAGACAGCCACCACACATCCAGGAAAGCGCTAAACGGCCGTTTTGTCCTATTGGGACTCGTCAGTAGCGCGCACCCGCCGAATCATGACGGATTCGAACCCACGACCATACTCTTGCGAGTCAACGACTTATGTCGCTGAGCCATGCGTGACGGCAGCGGACCGCCCTGACTGAAATCTAAGTGCGATATAGCGCGGCTCATCCTCCACTGTCTTGCATGTTATGATGTGCAGGGGACAGGGCTGGCCCCCAAAGCAACGACTTCCTTTGCTCTGGGGCCAGCCCTGACTCGTGGGTTCGAATCCGTCATGATTCGGCGGGTGCGCGCTACTGACGAGTCCCAATAGGACGAAACGGCCGTCTAGCGCTTTCCTGGATGTGTGGTGACTGTCTGTCTGTGTCTAACTGCGACGAAGCTACACAAAACCTAATAAATCCCCCGACTACTTATAAATGTCTTTGCCTCTCTAAACGATGTTACCAAACCGGTGGACGCCGTTTATCTACAATGACGAATTTCTACGGCTATTTCGCACTCTGACGATCTGACAGAACAAAATCATAAATGTAACAACACAATTAAAAACGCAAACCACAACCTTTACAAACACATACCTTCATATTTGTATGCATGCAACATTAATTTAATTAAGCCGGAAATATTGTAATCTTTCGGTACATTTACCGGTTATTCGTGTAGCTTTACTCTGATCATACTTGTAAAGGCGTGGCTCGCTTTGTCGAGAATACATCATTTGTTTATTCATTTAGTGTAAGATATGAAACACAGGCGAAATCGACACACAGACAAACACGAACAGTCACCGGCCGGGGTACCGAACTAAGGGCTATGGTAAGCGGTAGAGCAGGTATGTAAAAGAGGACAGCATGCGGCCCTTTGCAAGCATACCAACGGTCCGCGATTTGGTCATTTGAGGCCAAAATATCAGTTTCTTACTTTGAATTAAAAAAGTGCGCTATTCAAGGAAAATCGGCATGCTTTCCTCTAAGCAGGATGTTTGTTTGCACTTTGGAATAGTCAATGACCTTTTAAGTGATTTCGACAGCACAACATAAACGATAATGCAGATGCGAGGTAAGCGAGTCAAAATTTCGTAGCATGGAGGACATTAGATTTTGAAACTGCAAGTCGATACAGCAAGCAAGTCTTGATCACATCAATCTATCTGAGGTTCGTTTGGTTGAAGCAGTAAGCATGTCCTGATGGTGCCTAACTGTGATTTGACTGGTTGTCGGCGTCGCACGCACCATTCGATGCGTTGCGACTATGTATGAGTGACACCCTGTGACTGACTGACTGCACGCGAATCGATATCCCCTTTGTACCCTCGTACAAATTTTGTTTGGCATTTATGATAAATTGAGCGAAATAGTTTCCGTACAATATAAAGAACACTGTTCAAATTACATGTAATCTTTCCAATAGCTAGTGCTATTGTGGTTAAGAGAATAAGGACAATTCACGAAGAAGGGAATCAGTATGTTCATACAGCGGTGAAAAGAAAGAGACATTGTGTACTTTGCAACAACGGCATTGTCCAGCCCAACAAGTGCAATTTAAAAAGACATTATGAAACGAACCATCAATTTTATGATATGAAGGCACAAGGTCTGTCTCAAAACTCAATGAATGGAAGAGTATCTTGAGACAACAACAGACATGTTTTACAAAAACTGAGAAACAGAATGTAACTTCCGTTACTGCAAGTTATGGTCATTGGAACTACGCCTTCTATTGGTTGTAGGTAATATCGAGCTGCTCATTAGTGAGCGGCCAGCACTAGATTTTATCGAGTGATAGCTCCCAAACTCCGGTGCTTCAATTCAAGCCACTGAAACGCATTGATTTCTATCGAAACTTCATGCAGCAAGTCAGTGGTCGTCTTCGTAAACGCCGAATTCTCACTGTTCGCGAACGAGACCAATCACTATGGCTTAGGCTTCACTTTAAAAATAATTTGAGAGGGGCCACTGTGCTGAGTTGTAGTGACCAGAGATCCAAAAGGAATAACTGCGCGTTCCTTTCTCAGCAAATAGGGGGATAAACAGATGGCTAGACAAAATTGCCGATAGGTTCGATGTAGCCCTAAATAAACTGGATTTATGTGTACAATGAGGCAGGACACTAAGAATAGTGCGGGGGGGGGGGCTGATGACTGACGTGGGATGCTCCTGTCACATTTCCTCCCACTTTCACTCACAAGAGAACAAACCGATATAATTCCAAGTGTTCGAATGATTATCCTAGTGCGAAAAGCTGAAATTATGAATGTAGAAGAACGCTGCTATTTTTCCAGTTGGGAAGATCATGGAGCTTCGCTTGTATCAGGCCAATTCGTTTGACACACAAAGAAATGTAATGTGGAAGAAATTTTGAGTTAAGTAGACCTACTATGGAAATAAAAATGCCATTAACAGCAAAATACGACTGGCAAGAATATAATCACAGTTTTATTTGTAAATGGATAGAAATTGCCAGCCAGGACATTTCTTCTTTGTCCATACTCGGTAGTCAACACAAATCTCAAGATTGTGAAAAAGTGTCTAATGCGGTTCTTCGAATCGATGGACGTATTGACGTCAGCGTAACACGGCTTTACGAAAGGGCGATCTTACATCACCAACTTGATGTACGCAAAGCACCAGTGTGTACGAGCTCTTAACGAACAGAAGGATGTTGACGTGATGTACATCGATTTTAGTAAGGCGTTTGACAGAGTGAACGACGAGATACTACTTCCTAAACTGAATACCTAAGGGACCGGTGGAAGGCCAATACAGTGGTTACATGAGTTTATTGTGGGACGGAAGTTTAGAGTACAAATCAATGACAGCTTGACAGACTGGTTCCCATCAACCAGTGGCATGCCTCAGGGAACTGTACTTGGGCCAGTGTTATTTCGTATTCATATCAACAATCTCCAGCAGTAGTTCAAGTCGCCATGTACCCTGTTTGCAGATGATCTGAAAATATGGAGGATCATTGAGTACCAGAACGATTGCGCTCGCCTGCAGCATGACTTAGATCGACTGTCAACGTAGTCCACTGAAATGCAACTCCCTCTTAACGCAAGCAAGCCGGAGTTCATCAGTATCATCAGACGAGCAACCACTCGACGGCCGGTTACTCTCCCACAATACATCTGTCAGTGAGGTAGGAGCGCTCTCGCGACATGGTGTGGCATCACTAGAAGATACACGGAAACTGTACCGTGCGGGAGTTCGTATGCTCTGGGCATTAAGACGCAGTTTCTTCATTTGGTCTGAAGAAACCGTCCATCGCCTATTCACCTCACTCATCAGACCAATCCTTGAATACAGCGCCCCAGCTTACCATCCGATAACCCAGTGGGAAACGAAAAAGCTGGAAAAAATACAACACCGCAAATAGAATGAATCCGTCTACGAAAACTATCGTATGAAAAAAGTGAAAGACTTGAATCCTACATACTGTCCTACCGCCGAGTACGGATTGATCTTATTGCGACCCCTCACTTCTCCATACTGCGGCCAAAATTTTACCTGCGGGAACCCTGTAACACACGAAGACACCGTTACAAACTCAGGGTCCCATGCATGAACAGGGTATCACATGAACTTAGTAAAGAAGAATCGTAAACTTATGGTATACACTACTAGAAAGACTAATAGAGACCGATTCTATGAAGTGTTTTAAAACACGTATCGACGATTATTTCGGGAACCTATGCCTTTGTGAAACGGCACACATACAATGCGAAAATCACATCCTATACCCGGAGATAATGACACCAATACGAAATCCCAACCGAACAAGGATAAACGATTAACTGACCAAGCATTGCCGCTGACAATCCGCAATTAAGTGTTTTTAATTTGCCATACTTCGATAGAGTTCTGCAGAAACATCACTATTTGCTCTAAAATACAGTCTGTCTCACGAATAATAGTTAAGCAAGTGAGATAGAACGGAACCAAGTGGAATACAATGACGTACGAATAATGCTCTTCGATGTGATGCCTCGTTCGGTCAAAGAGACGGCAGCCACTCCGTGACCCGGTGGTGTGGTGAGTATGTAGGACTGCTGTAAGATTTGAGGAACAATCGGGCTGGCCCCAGTCCCACTGCAAGTCCCATCGACATCTGTGGAACGGAGCAGTGACGAAAAAATGTAATCTGAGCCGTCTGACAAGCCCAGTGGAGACGGATCTTGACCAAGGAGGTTGGCATTGCCTTGCTTTGGACCGAGAGAAGTGAGGCTCAGAAACCAACTGGTAGGTAAAATGTTACGCAGAAATAGCTGAGGCGGGCTTGGGATTGAATGAGAGGCGCACAGCTGAGGACCGTTGGCGGAGACTTTGGTTGACTCGAACAATTCCAACACAGTTATTTCGTGTCGCAGTGACTTGTGGTTGTAGTATCCGTACTGCAGGAGAGGTAAAATGGATCATGTTTTGTGCCTAATCAAGTACCGCAGTAGAGGTTTACCACAAATCGCCAAGGGAGTAAGTGAGCAAACTCACCACAATCCAATTTTCCGAGTGTATCAAATTGACCGGTTCACTACAACGGCGATGCACAGCACTGTGTAGCACGCGTCCCAAGACCACATCAATGAGATAGAGCATTACTGAATTCGTCTGAGCTGCAACATCGCCACCAGCGGTAATCACAGCGAGTAGATTTGGGTTCAAATATTTGTACAGAACACTGCGATCGCCGAGTACACGTCCAACAGAATGAATGTGTTCTGTGGTGATGGAGTGCGGGAACGAGAACAGGGAAAAGAAACAATGATGGGGAGACCCACAGGCGAGGATTAAACAAAGTAGCATTGGTTTGGTCAGGCAACGTGGGACAAAAGGTATCAGCAGCACACCGGTATGCAGCTCCGACACTACGCTGTAGCTCAACCACCACCAGTCGCATGTGGGCTAAGGGTGCTGCGAGGACCGCCCGGTCCTTGCGCAGGCTCGAACTTGAGCCCTAGGATTATAAGGCAGGCTTGTAATGAGTAAGCATACGGGAAGGCAAAGAAGGACAAGACGGGGTCGCGAAGTGAATAAATAGTCGTCGTTCCCAACGGTGAGCAAGTAACGACACAATCGAGATTTCTGCGTTTCATCGAGAATGAGGTAGTAAACATAGTTTAAAAAATAAAAATACATAAGTCGGATACTTGTTCACTTTTTTGACAAGTACCTAAGCTAGGTTAGTCTTTGATGACCAAAGTACACAAACACAATAGAAATCAGAAGTCACCAACCTCGGTACAAAAACATGTTACAAGGAAGGCGGCTGAACCGCTGATCGCGACTATTGGTAAAATCGGAAACCCCAGGGTATTACACCTGAGGATATTGGTGACTGAATCACACCGCGTTCAGTACTATCCTATTGAATGTCAGAACCAGTCAACCTAGAACAGACCAAGGGAAAGTTATTCGCCTAGTATGAATCCTTTCTTAGACCTCATCTGATGTATTCAGCGAAAGAAATGGAGTACAAAAAGGGAAACATAAAAGACAGCGACTTTGTCAGGTAAATAATTTTATCGGAGACGGAGAAACGAAGATATGCTTCCATATGGAGATGGAGCGGTCACAAGGATTCTAGTTTGCGAATACTTAAATGTATTGCCGACTCCACGAATCCCCACCATCAAAGACTACTGCGCTCACTTTGAGCCATTGTTGTCAGATATAAGGCATATTCGCTCGCTCCATGGGAAATCACCAAGACAGTCGTAGGACACTATGGAGCAAACGGCTCATGTAAACTAAGGGTTAGCTCAAGAAAGAGAAAAAATGAGTAGAACTCAATAAGGGAGAATGCCATCGATAGAATGATACAGCGATTAAGACCTGCAAGAAGACGGAAAAAGTCGTCATGATCGTAATACTGCGCCCAATTTTCAATTTGACAAGGGGTGTTCTTTATCCACGACCAATAGACTGCTGCAAATAACACAGCCTTAGTTGCTTCGCCGAAATGATCAAGGTAGTATGCGTGCTCCCACGCATTCGAAAACGACTGAAGGTTTGTTTGACAACGTTGATCGCATAGATGACAGCAATGTGTCTGATCGACGGCATTTCTCTAGGGTTCTGTCTGCTTGTCCCTATTGTGGATCTAATCGAAAAGGACCAAATTTGGAAGCGCAGTGACTGGGGACGCCATGCAGTCTAACCTCCCATTGCTTGGTTGTACAGGTTCGAAGCATGCATTGTGCGTCCTTATAGTTATGCGTAAGCCCGAACTGAAGACAGAAGCTGTAATGGTGCTGCCGATTTTTAGCAGTGCACTACATCAACTTGTATGTCTTCGTTTTCAATCGGCAAATAAACATGGCTGACGTCCAGAGCTGACTTCCGGATGAAAAGATCCCCACCTAATACCTTAACCACTGGGCCCGATCAGTAACACAGGTAATGTATCCAAAACGTCCGTACACACAGATGTACTCAGACAATATCAACCAAGCTCACAGTTACATGAAGAAAAGGCGGTAGTACATAGTAATGATGTGACGGATTGGTGTCTAACAATTAGGTTAAACAGTTTGGGGTGAATGGTCAACGTAGCGAAGACAATACTCACGCACGAAGGCGTGGCATATATAATTTTATCGGATTTCGGTTACAAAAGTAATCTCGAGTGGACTGTAGGAGAACAACTGAGGAAACATCGAGAGTAGGCAATGTTTGTCGTGCTAACTTTCCTAGCTAAAGGAAGCAATTACAAGTCTGATTCGCTTCCACCTAAAAACAGGGTGTTCAGAGGAAAAATAACAGATGGGCCAAAAGCAAAGCTGTTGAAGCAAGCCGAATCAAACACTGGAGCTGTATTCAAAAGCAACTATCGGTCAGTCTTAGGTTGTCCAGGACGTATGGACGTGAATTTCGATTTTCATTTGTTCACATCACTTGACAGTTGTATTTAATTCCGTTATCGTTACGGGTACTGATGAGACAATAGGATATGCATGCATCTGCCGAGACTGGTCTTTTCCTTAGGTTTATAAAATGACCGTGGGAAAGCATTGATTTAAAATGTCAAAACTGAAAGGGTACGCGGTTTAGCGTTTCATTCATAATTCGAGATGTGATAAGCACCGTTGTATAGCTCTATAACCAAAGAATAACAGCAGAAGAATACATAATTATTTGAGTTAGTTGTATATCTGAAGCACTAGTTGGGTAGACGCGTACGTTTCATCTTCGCTACCCACTCATTATTCCTGTCTCCCTTATGTTGTGTGTTGAATTGACTTTCCCTGGTATCCATCGACGTCACCTTTCTGGTTACGTGTCTGTGCACAGCATTAGTCTGATATCGTATGCTTTTGTGGTTTTTAGCACTTAGCTGCTGTTGTTCTACCACACTATCCATAAACTTACACTTCCTTAAGGCGTGTTATAATTCTGCGCAATTTTCAATCGTCCCCACCTCAGGCCAGGTAGGTCGCATACGCACAGATGATAAATTCATCGACGATTGAAATCCCACCCGTTGGTTGCCAAACATCCGTTTTTGAACCCATGAACAGTTGCAAACTGCATTGTGTGAATTCAATCTGTGTCGCTGTTGATTACAGTGTGAAAATAAGATATTTCTAATAAGCTGCAGTCTATATTTAGTCATTAGGAATCCTCTTGTCAATGCTACTATTAGTTGTTCTACCGTAGTTAGTTATAGTAGGTATTTTCACCACATTTATTAGTCATTCGATCAAATTGTTGACGATCTTCGTGATTTCTCCTTTGTATGATCACCCTCCCTCAGGACAATTGTTCAGGGAAAATTCTGTAAGCAAAGGTTGAAACATGAAGAACAGTTTCTGTGTTGGTCCATTGTGGCTGTTTGCTATGCCTACATTGAGTCGCAAGCCCTACTTTCCGCATTTTTAGTGCTGTTAAATAATTGAACACGGCAAAACTTCTTCGGACCTATATTGTGAAAGCCGAAAAATTTTCTCCGCAGTCCGAGTATGTTACATATAATGATCAGACAAGGAAATTGGTGTGTCTCGTACAGTCGAGAAATATACAAGTTGTTTACTTATGAATGGAAGGATTTTGGTGAGTATTTTTGTTCGTCGCAATCAGCCGACAATTCAGATATGTCGACCAGCTGTCCGGAAAAGCACCAGAGGGCCGTTTCGCCCTATTGGGGCTCATCAGTGGTGCGCATCCTTCGGTCCTCTGCGGGGGATCGAACCCATGACTGCTAGTCGCTCTTGCCAACTAGCCCGCAGCTTATGCAACTGCGCCATGCAGGCACCTGCATGGCAGTGGAGGATGCGTCGGGCTATATCGCATTTAGCTAACAATTCACGATAGTCAGATACCGTCCTCCATGGCGCAGTTGCATAAGCTGCGGGCTAGTTGGCAAGAGCCACTAGCAGTCATGGGTTCGATCCTCCGCAGAGGACCGAAGGATGCGCACCACTGATGAGCCCCAATAGGGCGAAACGGCCGTCTGGTGCTTTTCCGGACAGCTGGTCGACATATCTGAATTGTCGGCTGATTGCGACGAACAAAAATATACAAGTTATTTATTTATTTGAAACACTAAGTCCCCTTCAACCACTTCATTAAGGCAGTAAGAACACATAGGTTGTGATATGTTAACATTTCGATTGCTCTCGTCAGTCGCTACGCAATAGAGACAAAACAAAACACGCAATATATAGGGCCCACACTTAGTAACATAGATATGCAGATAAAACTGATAAGCATGACGTTATCAGGTCCAAGGCAATCTAACTGATTGCCTCGATTGTTTCTGGGCACAGAGCACGGGACAATTCAACCTTATCAGTAGCGCCTCGACAATTGCCAAAACCTCGGGTTCCTGCTGCTCAATAACACCTTGAATGAATCGATTAAGTTTACCTGGTGGCGAGTCGTCATTAGGTGTTTGGTGATAGATGAGGCAGGGTTCCGGTTCATTCTTTGGTCCGCTCCTCCTTGGTTAAACACCAACTGCCTTAGCCATAATGGGAAGTGTTCCGCCATCCTTTGAGACAGCCGGCGACCAGTCTTGCCTATGTAAGTGTCACCGCAACTGCAAGTGAACTGATAGATGATGTTAGAGGCCGAACTGCTTGACGAAATACTCGGACGGCTTTGGACAGGAATCTTCGTGTAGTGTGGATGTTTATTTATTTATTGACGCAGGTGCTCCTCAACAACAGCTTGTAGAGGTAAGTATTATGTCATGTGCACTATATAGACTGTAACTGGTGCACATTACTCAATTTAGCTCTCAGGAGCATTTGATTTTTCTCTTCTGTACACTCTACGGCACAATCAAGTGTACAGTGATCGGACTTTTTCAATGAAGAAATATACCATATCCCTAAGTACGCACAGTAAAAAGTCTTCTGTCCTACGGGTAGCGATTCTGTCAACTTTTCTCCCTAAATGTCGGGAGCATTTCTATGCAACCCACGTTTACCGGAAACAAGTCTAATGCCGATGTTGTGCTGGGTTTATGGTCCCCACCATTCAGACTTCCTCATTGCTTCAACGTAGGTTAGGAGATCTGATAGGGTAGTCTTCATCAAGATCGCTTAATGATAACGTTTCCAAATGCAGTGCCGTAATATTTTATTTTCTTTGTGGTGATCCATTATAGATATCTTTCTCACTAACTGTGAGCGAAAATTCCTTACTCAAATCATTCATCGTCAAGTATCTCGATATCGTTTTGTCCCCCAACCATTTTTGGTTTACCCACGTCTGTAAAAACTATTATGCCCTTAGGCTTAATGAGCATTCTGATATTTTGGGTTGTGACTTCATGTATTATTCCCCACTGGTTATATCTGTCATCTCCCCTGGACTGCTTCAGAAAAACTATACCTTTATTAACGCAGTAGAGCAATTACATTTCTAGATACCCAGGTTGGTCTAAATGGTCTGGTTGATTTGATAATTTGCCTCACCCGAATGTTTACTAAATCTTAATCGCTTAAGTTGGTTAGGCCATGCCCCTTGGATGCTCGATGATCGGCTTCCTCGTGGCTGCACCAAATTGGACGAAACATAGAGATGGTCAGTCCATGACGTAGCATGAGGGGACTTGGCCAGGTTGGTGCATGCCGTCTTCGTGAATGGATGCGCTCCCCCGGGAGCGCATCAACGGTTTGAGACCGCATCAAACATGATGCAGTCACGGAGTCAGTGGCGTTCCCGCACTCGGTTTTCTGCATCTGGTTGTTAATTCTTGTTCCATTCTGATTATTTTAACGCGCTTCCTACTTGCTTTCATTTTCTTTGCATTTAACCATACCATCTCGCCGTTGTTAGTTATTGTTATTCTTAGCATGAGTCGCGGCAAGTGGATCCACCGCACTACGGTGCTGGGATCATAACTGGGCAACTGAACTGAAGTGAACGTAATCTCAAACTGGACTGCAGTTAATGTCGAGGTGAACCTAGATCAAATCGGTTATTTGGGACACCAGCAACAAAACTCACGGATGTCAGGTGTGGCTCACTAACAACGATGCATTCGACCAACACTAGAGGTTTCATACTAGATTGCACTTGACAAGCAAGCAGTGCAAAACTACGACAGGATCCAGAGATGCGGCCGCATTCATCAATACGTCATCGAAAGGCGTTGAGGAGAAACGATAGAGCAGTTGAGTGTGGAAAGCAAGAATAGCTAGAAGGGTACCCGTGACCAATGAATTGCGCTCCATTTCTGGTCTGCTGGAGCTCTAGACAGAGCTGATACAGGAGAAGAAACCAGCCCGACCTAGTCGGTGTGATGGCTAAAGTGGTGGGATAAATGACAAATTGGGGGACAATAATCCTTAAATAATGATGGTAGAAACTCAGCAGAGTTGCAAGAAGAAGGAGAATAGAACGCAACAGTAACGCGCAGAGAATAATCGTCAATAGAAGCTGACAATTTATTTATGAAGCGACCCAAGCTGGTCTGGTGAATGGAAATCAAAAAGAACCTGCGGTTCTTGCACGGATAGGCACAATCGGACCCCAATGGTGGCGGCTGGATTGAACGGGACGCCAAAAGAACACGCGCGAGGAGGATGACGTCGGGTGTTCAAAACAGCCAAGTGGATCGAGAAGATGAATATCCAGATTCCAGCGCAAGCACATCGTACTTCTGGCTCAATGTTGTGGAAGCAGAAAGTTGAACGCCAATAGAAATGCTAAGGTTCGTTTGAGTAGACAGAAAACCGAAGGAGCAGTGGCAACCAGATTGAGAAAGATGAAAAGAGGGGTGAACGGAACGTACCGTTGGCGGCCCGAGAGGCTGCGGCGACCACCGAATGCGGTGTACTGACATTTGCGTTGTCTCCGTTTCCGTGAAGATACATCTGCCACACACGAACAGCAGTGTGCTCATCTTCCAAGGAGCTGTTCTTCAGAGAACGAATTTTGTAGCCAATCAGACGAGCTAGTGACGGTTCAATTGTGTAGACATACAAGGGGATGCGGATCAGCTTTAACGCAGAGGTGTAGCGTTCTGGGTAAATGTGCACCTTGAAAAAGCAGAGGGGAGAGAGAAGTCGATGGGAGAGGGGAAAGCTTGAGACGACACAAGGTGTATAGTTGCCTGTTCACAGAAGCCGAAGAACAGGATAGGATAGGCTAATAACTGTGAATGCCAAGCAGAGCAGAAACCTCAGAGCAACTACCAAAATTATGCAGGATTCCCCAATGGGGTATGGGATCAGACTGGGTTCATTAAGTTGAATCTAACACGCAGAAACAGAGAGGTATATAACGATGAATAACAGTGAAGTCGGTTCTGGGAGAGGGGTGGATTCAATGATAAGAGTAAGAAAATCATTCAGGTGGATTGAGAGAAACTCAAAAGCGATGTTAAGTTTAGTTCTAGCAGACAGCTAGAGAAGAGCAAAAATATATGGTGAATGGAGTTGTCAATTTTGACCTGATCGGGTACTATAGAGAAACGACAACGAATCCAATATCGAGTGGAAAATGAGGAAAAGCCAATGCATATAAGTAATCTGAAGAGAGCAAACATCGTCACTAGCCAGGAGAAATAGGGAAATACAAAATGGCTAAAGACGCGACGGCCGTATGCATACTTTTAAAGGGTGTGTGTGTGTGGGCTGCTGCTTCCGCGAACAGGGCTTACAACTTACCCCTAACGAGCTAAGTGGCTTAGTTGAAGTGAGAGATAATTGCGAAAAGCCCATGGAATAGTTTTGGAGTGGCCTCCGCCATCTTATGACCGAAGCACTATGAATAACCGTACAAGAGCCTAGCAACTGGGTAGTGTGAATTCCCCAATGCATGCCTGCGGAGCTTCCACGTGTTGTAACCTAAAAAGAAATAGTACTAACAAGAGTTCAGAGAGGTTTGGGAACAATCGATTGGCGTGTTTGTTGGGTGATGTTGCCGTTCTGACACAAAAGCTTAGTCAATTTAGGTGAATCAGTGTGCAATTGGAGCAGCATTTTATGACGAACAGGGAGGAGAATCGCACCACGTGGATTATTTGCACTGAAGAGGAACAACCTAAAATGACATAAAAAAATGAAAAAGGCATCAGGACGCCGGTACGCTGCCGCGCAACCACCACGAGTCGCATGCGGGCTAAGGATACTGCGAAGATCGCCCGGTCCCTACGCAAGCTCGAACACGCACCGTCGGATTGTAGGACGAGCTCGTTACCTTTAGGTTACGGGCCGACATCCTGACCAGTGACTGCAATAATCCCTTAGCTCATATCCATACAAATGCGAACATCGGCCCTGTTACTTATAAAATGCCGCTCCAAATGCACACTGATTCACAAGACCTGACAAATCCTTTGTGTCAAAATCGAAACATTGCCTAACAAACACACCAACCGATTGCTCCCAAATCTCTTCCAACTCATGACTTCACGATCAGTACCGAGTATATACCAAGCTCGTTGAGGTCAAAAGTTCCCATAACAAAGTGAATCGTTCAAGTCAGTGCGGAAAGCATTCTTCCAGGTCCAAGGTGGAAGTAAGGCGTGCAGAGTCAGAACAGACAGACGTTCCTGACACTCGTACGGTGCGCTATCCCTTGCGTACTATTCAAAAAAAGTTACTCGAATAGTGAAGAACAATAAGACTTCGTAAATGTGACAGCACATGCGATGAAATCGTTAAAGACGGAATGAAAGCAAGTACAGTTTACAAAAAAGGACTTATGCCACAGTGAAGTAAGAAGATACTCAAACGCAGTGGGTCATGAACTGATGACATCGGTTGAAGCGGACCCCAGTCCATTCAAGGTAATATTGGGAATGGTAAACGAAAATTCAAAAACAGTTGCTGTTCCGAAAAAGGAGTGTCACATGGGTTTCAAACTAGTTTTACGCTTCAGAGAGACAAAAACGAACGGAAGATTCCGCAGCATAAATACATGTTAGCTGAGGGTGAGAAACTGCAAATATAAAAAGATAAGATAGCAAAAATTGCACCCAAAAATTCAAAAAGCAAGTAATATAATGTTAAGTAACATATTATGCATGTTCTAGGAGACTGGTAGTGGAGATGGAATCTAAAAGGAAGGGGGAAGGATAAAGAAACTCAGAGCACAAGCGCCATTTGGGGCTGGCTCTTCGCCATTTCAGCAAGTGTGTTCATCGTGTTCACCGACCTTAGGAACCCAGTCAAGCAGTCGAGATGCACCAACTGACGCCAATCTCGAAGTGAAAGTTTTCATTCCTCATGATCATGTCATCTACTGGATTCCCCTCCACTCTTCCATCCACACGCCAGACGCGCAAACAACGCACGTCGCGAGAATGGGTGTGCTGGCATACGCAACACGTGGCCCAACCATCGGAGCCTGATGCGTGATACACCGGTGCTGAGCGGTTCACTCGCTCTGCCCGCACCAAATACGAGAAGCCGAACACATTCATTCCTCAGGCGGTGCTGCCACCAGACATAATCTAAGCTTGAGTTGCAGACTGCACTGAATTGAAGGACCGTTATGGCATGAAAGGCCAGTAATTACTGGCTCGAATCATCACATGCTCACGACAACCGCGATTTATCTGTTTATTCGTTTAAAGGATTTTCACAGAAATCAACATTTCGGCAGAGAGGAGGAAGGAAAATTGGTTGTTTGAAGGTGCTAAACACTTACTACCAAGTCTTCCCTGTGTTGATAAAGCGATGGGACAGAGGTAAAATCATAGCAAAGGACATAATAAAAGAAAAAAGAGGATAAGCGGTGAAAGTGGAAAATATTTTTTAGAAGTCCGGGACTGCTTTCTGTGGCCTACAGTCACAATTCGGCTTGGCGATTGAGCAGCGTGGTATAAAAATTCTCGAGTATCCAACGGACTGGAATGTGCCTACAAAAATGACACGCGAATTGTGAAGGGAGTTTCAAATCGATGACCAATGAAACGGTCGGTGTCAAAAGTATGAACCCAAGTTGAGTTGAGTAGTGCGCATCAGCTTTCACGAATACGCATCTGATAGAAGTATAGGTTGGGTATCCAAACAGGAAAAAAGATCATTTACCTTCAGGTGCGTATCCAACATCATCAGCGGGCGCACATATTCCGTGGCTTCACTGACCGAACCAGGTAGGAGAATGGTCTGTAAGATGTCGGACTTCATGTGAAACAAATTCTTTGACATCTTTTGCAACACCGCACCGGTGATGGGGTTGAAGGAGTACAACACTGGGAGACCGGTGTGCTGAAATAAAAGAAAATGCAAACGCCAGTCGAAACGGTGAATCGGCTCAGTTATCCGCGCAGATGCAAGGTATCAAATGATTGGATCATCGGAGAAGACCGGAAGGCTCTGTGCGAGCTTTTAACGTACTAAACACCCATGAAGACGGTGTTGAAACCGCCAAGTAGAACCTGAACAACAGTACTGTAGCAGTAGTAGTAGTAGCAGCATCAGCATCAGTAGTGGGTACGAAACAATACTAAGAAATAGGACAAGGCGTTCAATCCAACTCAGACAAAATAATTCGAGTCGAGCGCCAGGACGTAACGTGTGTTCGGCTGCATTGACTAGTCGTTGGGTTAATAACAGAAATAATTGTGAAAAAGTAGAACAAGAAGGAAGACATCATGAAAAAAGTACTAGCAGCAGTAAACAAGAGACCAAATGTGGGAACGCTGTTGATTCCGCGATAGTGCCATGTCGCCTAAGAATACGAGCTCAAAATCTCCAAGGTGGCACTTAGCTAACTGATATGGTTGCCCAGTCAACGTCACTACACCTTTCTGTCACCCAACCAAGTGGACACTACTCTACCGTTGCACCCAACTAAGTGCAGAGGCGGAAAACCCATTCAGGACCGATGCAGATGGTATTAAACAAACATTCTCATGAAGTGCCATTATATTTGCTCGCATTTTCTTCACTCTTCCCATATTTCTCCCAATCATGGTGTGATGGACAAAATCAACTGGATGCAACATGCGTCAGCGTTCTGATCACGGCTGATAATCCAATTGTAGCTCATGAAGTGTGCTGAGTGTGAAGGAGGCAGATGATCCAAACTGAACACAGGTGGAATAACACAACAACGATGGAACCAACCTTAGAGCGCGAGAAATAGGTGGTGATGGGGGGTAATGGGAAATGTGCTGTGTTGCGTTGTTGGAAAAGCATCGGTCTGTTGTTGGCAGAAGGCTGTGCGTCGCGTACCAAGTGTTCCCACACAAGGCGGCCCTTCTCGCTCTCTATGCCAAAAACCTGCAAGGAACGGCCAAAAGAGTAGAATTAACAGACTAGTGCATGATACCAGATTCAAACACGGGAGGCGAAGAACCATCCGTTCAATCAATGGTTACGAAAAATGAGTATAGTAGGCGGGTAGCAGTTTCCTTAGGGAACAGGGCGGAAAGTGTTGTTATGTTATAGTCAATGTGGAAACCAATCAAAGTGTGACGTTCGGTATCGGGTTGGGACAGGTGGAAAGGCACAAATTAGGAGGACGATAGAATGAACATGACAAAACTTACCGGAGATAACTGTGGTAAACAGAATTGGTGCGCCGAACAAACTGAATGATAGTGTCGCTTGTAATGAGCAATTTGACCACTAGAAGTGGAGGAAGGAGCTGCTTATTGAAATTATCTGACGCCTTGAAATTAGGAAGGTAGATTTGCGGTTGTAAAACCTGGCCCATTAGGTCACCAGTACCTACGCAATTTAGCTCACATCTGGTGGGTACACCCAGTAAGCAACGACCGTGTTAGACGCCTTGTTTATGGCATAGGAAAAGGAAATGAACCGCTTAGCACCGTTATTTCACACACCAGCCCACCGACTTCCGCGACGTGTGTTGTTTGCGCGCCAGGGGTATGGATGGAAGAAGAGGAGATGTGGCCAAGCGATGACTTGGTCAAGAGGAATGAAGGCCCTCACTTCGAAGCTGGCCACGGATGGAGCTACTCGGCTCCCTCGTTGGGGTCCGAAAAACGATGAACACGTTTGGTTGGATACACTTGCTGACATGGCTAGGAGCCGACTTCAGTGGCGTTTGTGTTGTGAGTTCCTTTGTCCCTAACCGCGATCTCACTTTTTAGCATACATTTTGCATACTAATGTTTTGCTGCATAGTAGCTGACTGGAAACTTTCCGGAACGATGCCCACCCGTTATTGGTAGTCCAGCTGGCTCACATTTGTTGTATGTCCTTTTCTTTTCGTTCCTTATGTATTGCGGTACAGTAGCTGAGGTGTTTTCCACCTCCAGCTAATGTGTATCATGATGGTGATGATGTTTACCTGGATCGAAAATAGGAGGACATCTTCCGCATACAGGCCGGGGGTGATTCATACACCGTAATTACCACGAGTCGTGGACTCGTTATCACCAGAGATGAGGAGCGTGTAAGCTCCAGTAACAGGACTTGAGGTTGGTAAGCACCGATAAATAAGTACAGTGCGCGAGTTTCGGAGGTACGATGAACACCAATTCCAAGGAGGTGCGAAGGCACAGTGAGCATCTTCTGTTGATAACTGGATGGACACAAAATGACCCAATGAGGATTGGCGCCCCATATCCGAAAGATGATCCGAGATCTACGGTGGTGCAGTTGACGAATTCAGTAGTTACTGGATTAGCAAACAAAGGTTTGTTTGAATGAGCTTTTGATTCAATAGCCGGGCACATGAGACAGGCTGGCTGAAGAGTCCCGTTGAGAATGGCTGGAAACTGACCATAAGGATCCTTAGAAGAGTCAGAACCCCTTACGCTGGTTTCTGAACCATCAATAAGTCAACATCTACGACTACGTCGTATTGACCAGCCGCTGTACGAATCGAGGTGGGGATATAGATGCTCCCCCATCGGCATATGGGATGCGTTGCGCACGAGATTTACATCAATCGGGGTACGTTTATAGAGCGCAGACCGTTGCTTCCCTGAAGTCCATTTTCGAATGAAGGCGGCCATCCATCTCTCTCTCGCCCTCAACGAAGGGAATTGAACTGGCTCAAAAGTGTGGCTCTGAAGACAGTTGTGAAGAAGCAGTTGGCGTAGATAAGTGGATCGCAGAGTGCCACAAACCATCACAATAACCTAAGGATGAGAATCGTCGCAAATAATAAAATGCCTCTTACAACTACTGGTGTCAGCCCATCGTTACTGAAAGTTGATGAGAGGATAGTGCATAGTGATGCTGCGTAGAAGCTGGTGGGCCTCTACGGATCGTTCGTCTAGTCTGATTCGCCGAATATGACTAAGCCACTTTGTCATACCTGCAATAAGTCCGCGTCCTGTCTCGTGGAGCCGCAGCGTAAAGCCTCGACAGTACTGGGAAACTGGGGAGATAAAACTGATCAAGTGGCTGTTGAGCCGAATTCTAGGATGGTGGCCCCTAGAACAACCGCATCAACAGGTATGGTCTTCATATGGCATGCCACTTTAGTGGTGCCCAAGCATGTTGTCATGTGCTTTTGGCGGAACACTCATTCAGCAGATTACAGGGGTCATTTCAACTCGGTATCGATCGACATTGTTTCACAATCCTCATCCGCAAGTACGCAGGTAATTAGTGGAATGCTGAAGCCAGTGAAGACAACTATGTAGACCATACTTCGGCTCTTGTATCATAGCCAAGAATACCGAACTAATATTTTAACAATCATGTGCACGAGTGGAAACAGGAAGAAAGACATGATTTCTTCGTCGGAACATCAACGTACAGTGAGTGGATCGGCGGAGATTACATGAAAGCGGCTACTTTGCTGCCCGGAAAGAGGTTCGACGTCAGTGAGCGTGTTATTCGTGCTTATACATGACGTGATAAGCATACGGTAGAAATGATTCATCCCAACTTTACGTTGAGTGCCGTACGAAGACCGGTGCGAGACGCTAGTATTTTACACCGTCTTATTGTCGAGTGCAGGTAGACCTCACCATGAGGCACCGGATAATATATCGCGGTGATTACCCCATGTTGAGAACGCGGTTCCATAGGCGCACACCAAGCAGCATTCGAGAATACCGATACAAACTAGTGGTGTCGGATTTCAAGCAGGTCGCTCAACAACAACTTCATTTGTTGTCCAAAATGGTATCTGACAACGCGATGCAAACCCTGACCCGGCTGGATATGGGGAACGGTCATAGGTTAATGTGGGAATACTTCAAAGGGGAAAGGCATATCTTAGAGGCGGAAGTGGAAACATCACGAGTGGGGGAAGGGCAGTGAAAAGAAATAAGTTACTCTCGCATTCCGCTCACTTTCCCACAGCCGGTGGCGACCACAATCATTTTGTGCAGGTTAAAGTTGTCCCGTGTCAGAAATTCATACATGCTTGTTGATGGTTGACGGTATCCGCCGCCAGACCGGATGGGATCGTCGTCGTTGTCAACGGCTCCTTGTTGCTTCGGTTGTTCATTGGGATTGGAAATCGTAGGCATTCGGAGGCGAGGTGGGTACGAAGTGGGCAGTTCGGATGACGGATCTGCAGCGCCCAATGTGACTTCATCGTCATTGACGACACGACGGTTCGCTGACTGAGGATCAGATGATTTGGGAAAAACTGCAGCGGTGAGAGAGTGTGACGCACCGGACAGACAACTCCGAAGATACGCCTGAAACGGATAAATGAGCAAGGGAAATGAGGAGGAATTCGAGTGACAAGTCCTTCAAGAAGTACAAGTAGACTCCATCCGGAGTGAAAACATAACCACGGGGATGGCAGCACATCCGGCGATGATGGCGTGATACACGGCAAAGATAAGTAAAAACGGCCGAATGCGGATTATTCAGTGTGAAGAGGAAGAAGACGCGGGGAAAAGAGTGCACGTCGGAGTAAAACCAGATGATCAAACTTCTGGCGTGTGTGCAGGATGATGAACACGATGGTTCCGTAGAAATGCAGTGTCATAAGATGGAGTGCCAGCGCAACCGTGCGCAGCAAACCGCGTGCCTTCGGTAATCGTCAAGTGCAAGTACGCAATCGGTATGGTAGCTATATGTGACGGAAGTGTCTTGCAGCCCGCGGCCACTGAGAATATAACCCTAACATGTGATCATGTAAAGAGGACCGAAAACGGGAAGTAGTGAGGCTCAAGAGGATCGCGTTTGATTCAACAATGCTGGCAAGAGTGAACATCGAGCCGTGGTGGAGGTGGCGCATGGTTGACAATATGGTAGCGTCAAACTAACCAGTGTGAAAATAGACTGATGTGGACATCAATAACGAAACAATAGGGCGAAGTGTGGTGTGTGTGTGTTGAAGTGAATCAAGTGTGTTAAAGGACGACTGGCTTCAGACGTTTGCCGCAGATGGTGCGAACGTTCTCAAATTGGGACCAGTACGATTGCGTGAAAGGGTCAGCACAAGGTAGGAATAAGAAAACACTCGAACGGCGTTGCTCGGGAACTGAACTGGGTGACAACCAGGAAGCACACACAGAACAACGAAGAGCGAGACAACAGATGGGGGAAATGGGAAGCGAAGTGAATCGGAACTTACCCACAACTGCAACGCTTGGGTACGGAGGCGTACAGCAAACATTTCGAAAATATTCCCTGGAACAGAAGAGGACAATTTAACAGTGGAAACGAAGAAAGTACAAGGGGGCAACCACATGAAACTAGGCTTTGGAAGGTCAGGTACCACACGGTCGAAAAATGTTAGCTGAGTGGTATCAGCTAGATTAGAAGGCAATTTCCAAACCAGTAATACATCAACATGAAAAGTAGTTAAACGATGGAAGCCAAGGCAAGAAGTGTCAGACGGTATCTAACGTACTGTGAGTGTGCCCGAACTCCTCCTCCATTCGTGCTTGGGATTCGGACACTGGCAAATCGACCATTTCGACAGCAACAATGTCTGCCAATGCCTCTTCGCGGATCCATTTTTGAAGGCCTGAAAAATGCGCAAAAGGTGGATATTCATTAGACAAATGTGATCGTGGGTGATCGCAAGGCGGTGGACAGATTAAATCTAAGCAAAATAAAGATTATAATCAATATAAGCAAGTATGTATCAGCGTTTGTAGTGATACCCAAACAACGTATAACTATAGAGAAAAGAGTAATGAAAAAGACTGAGGAAGGATAAACTCAAGATAACAAAATACATTCGTCGATCATCCAGGATCAAGACACTTATCATATTTAGCAAGGAAAATTCACTACGGGTTGTCTACCGGGGAAGACGAGTTTTGCTTCCCCACGCCATGACCAGCCTTAACTAAGAGATCGGAATGGCAATACCGGCGACACCGGCACCAGCTGCAATTTGCGTCCTGCGCGTTCTGGTTTGCCTTGACCAAAGTCTGGGAGGAAAAGTGAACCAACAACGCCAAACGTAAACAAGTCTGCATGGGAAAGGTGAAGGCTGTGCCGAGAAACGAGTGGGGTCTTTAAATGACGAAAGTGACCGGAGTTCACAATATCCACTCTAGATAGAAATCTAGGAGTGGGCAATCGTCAAGTGGCTCTGTGGTTGAACACCAGGCGAATCGGCTCGGTGAAGGCAAAAAAAAGGATCCGACCGACGCTGTTCCATTCGGCTGGTAAGTTAAGAGCGCTATCCATCAATCGGTGGCGGATCCACTCATCTTGACCCACGGTGCAAAAAGGATAAGGAAGCAAAAAGAAACAAACAAACGAGTCAATGCAAGTGGAACGAGCAGAAACGTGAACAATTCAGATGCAGAATATAAGAACCTGGAAAAAGATGCTGAGTGTGAAAGTCTCACTGACTATGTGAGTGTATAATACCTATAGTGGGACCAGTGTAGACCTAGATCTGGAAAGAGGAGATACATAAACCAGTTTATTCGAATCCGTTTCTTCGTATCCTTTTGACCATAGAATTAACTAGCCAGTTCTGGGTGACATCAGGAAACAATACGGCCGACCGATAAAAGAGCATGACTTTGCCAATGCATGAGATCTAAGTATGGGAGGGTGAGTCAAAAAGTAACGCCTTCTTCTTGGAGACAGATACAGTTGTCAAGATAGGAACACGTATCATACATCAAAAATGAAGCCTCTATGGATCCCATCCCTACTTCTTGACATAGTCACCGTTTCTTTCAATAGCAATGTTCCCCCTCGCAAAATTCCGTTGACTGTTCTTTGAGCCACTTCTTCACTGTAGTTTTCACTTCCACATCACTGGAATAGTGTTTGCCTCTTAAACCCTCATTTATGGGATCAAAGAGATGATAGTCTGAAGGTGATAAATCTGGTGAGTAGGGAGGATGTGACAAAGTGATCCACTCAAATGAGGCGATTGTTTCCCTTGTCCTGATGCATGTGTGCGTGGCTGAGCATGGTCGTGCAAAAGGACCTTATCGATTGGCAAGTTGGATCTCACTCGCCGGATTGTTGCTCTGAGACTAGTTACGCTCTCAATGTAGAACACAGAGATCAGTGTTTCTTCGCAAAACAAACAAACAACAAGATCTTTATCCTGCACGACAATGCACAACCACACACGCATCAGGACAAGGGAGACAATCGCCGCATTCAGGTGGCTAACTTTAACACATCGTTCATACTCACCAGAATTAGCGCCTTCAGACTAACATTTTTTTGATCCCATGAAAGACGGTTCGAAAAGCAAACGTTATTCTAGTGATGAAGAAGCGAAAACTACAGTGAAGAAGTGGCTCAAAGAACAATCAACGGAATATTACGTGGCAAGGATACACGCACTCATTCGAAGCAGAAACATCGCTATAGAATGAGGCGGTAACCATGTTGAGGGATAGGGAAGTGATCCATAAAGAACCTGATCCATTTTGATGAATGATATACGTTCCTGTGATGAGTGCCATACCAGAGTGAACAGATGGGTCACCCGAACGAACCAGATAGCCAATGGGAGACGGCCGTAACGGATTTGATGATGCGGGGCAGTGAAAGCCGCAATGAAACTGTCTCGCTGATGCTGCCTTATATTTGCACGATAGCCAGCTGTTTGTGACGGTATGTTGTCTACACAAAGTGTAGGCACCTTGACTCTGAATGTTTGCTTAGGGCATTAGGGTTTTCAGGTAAGTCCCTCTTCTCTCCCTTTTATTATCCTTTATTCCTTAAGTCATCATGGTTGTATGGCAGCGAAGGACCAGCTCAAGTGTCTGGTGTACTGCTGTTGTTGATCGTTGCGTCGGCGTCAGCTGGCATACGGAAGTCATGACCAACCAAGGTAAGCGGTTGAGATACAGGTAACACTGGTGAGACACCGGAAGGCTTCTTGCCAAGCACCAATTGATGGACCTCGGAATTACTCACACGGTGTTTTCAGCAGATATGAGCAATGCACTACAAGCACTAGCATCGAAACACGGCCAAATGTTTAATGTCTTCACTGCGAACTGGCTACGTCTCTGATCCATACGGTAACACTAGTCTCATAGCAGCGTTGTACACCGCGCTTTTCACTGAGTGGTTGCTATCCCGCTGTTTCCTTAGATTGTTTAGTTTGTGGAAAGCCACACGGACCTTGCTGATATGGGAAGTAACCTCCTAAATTATGAGACCACCATAGATGACATAGCGACCAAGGTAAGCGAACTGATCAACCACTTCCAGTGAATGTTCGGAGATAGCTTGAATCACTGATCTATCGATTCAGTCGTGCGACAACAGTTTGCACTTTGAAGCTGCACTGTGCATACCGAAACCTGCAGCGCTACGCACCAGTCTATCCAGCAGTGTTTGCTTAGCCATTGCATCCGATCTAACGAGAGCTAGTTCGTCCGCATACTCATGGTTTGTCATTTGATCATCCAGCAAAAGTTCCACTCCGGAAGAGTCTGAGGGAACAGAAACATTCATGATCATTTTGATCACAAAGTTGAAGAGGAAAGGAGATTTAGGACAATCTTGACGGACCGCTTTTCATGGAGTACTCATGGGATAGCTTCTCCCAGACCCTTATCCTGGCCTTGCTACTCACGATAGCGAGACTTTAGAGTGAAAGTAGTGCCACAATCTGGCTCGATTCACAGAATCGAAGGTGGCTTTCATGTCAAGGAAAACCACCATTGTCCATCGTCTGTAGATGTGTTTCTGCTTTCACGCTTATTGGAAAGTAAATAGGTTGTCCATGCAACCACCACCTGGGTGGAAGCCTGGATTTCCATACTTCTTGTCGAAGAATGATACTCGTGAGCAGCTTGAAGGCTATCGGAAGAAGATTAATGCCTTGATGGTTTTCACACAAAGTACGCTGACCGTTTTCGAAGATGAGCACTCTAGTTGAAAGCAGCAGGTGCAATCAAGCTCACCTATGTCTTATTGATGAGTGGAGGTCGTCGGATCCAGGAGCCTTGTTTACTTTCAACAAGAGGAGCTCATTTCGAATCTCTTGAAGGTGTAATATATCAACTTCACGCGCCTTCTCAGATGATTAAGCAAACGGTTATATTGCAGCAGACCTGCTGAGTTGTTCTTAAGAATGTTCCACCTTGTGGTCTATTCGATGGAGCTGAGAATAGATCAGCTGTCCATTTTTCTCAACTATCATCTCGTTAACTGATGGCTTTCTCCTACCCGTGTTCCGGATGAACTAGAATAGCACTTTGATGTTCCCAATAACACTGGCTTTTTCTATCTGACGGACGCTTGGCGTCTACCAGCTTTCCCAGCCGATTCAAAGGCTCCTTGTCAAACGGCGTTTTAGGGCGTTGCGGACACGCTAAAGCTCATTATCCGTTGATATCGTTCCCATGCTTTTATCCGAATGATCGATATCTCAGATACATTTACACTCCGAACATCCCAAGCTGAATGTGCAGTGGGCGTCAGAGGCATTCTTCCTTACACCTTTGATGCGATTTCAGTCAGCCAACATCATTCACCACTGACAACTGGTAGGTGTGATGGTAGTATCGGATCAGAGTAAGCAGATGGACAAACCGAGCGAGCCAGACGGCCAATGGGAGGCAGACGTGACGGATTCGATTACTGGACTCGGATTGTCCGATACTCGTGTGATTGATTCACCGTTTGTTTAACTAAAGCAAAGGTGGAACCTCATTGAATCAGAAGGGTCGTTAATTATGGACTTGAACCTGTAATTTATATCGAGGAGTTTGGCTTGCTAAACATGCTGTAATTTACGCTAAGTTGTTTTTTTCGAATAAACGCTTGTCCCTGAAGGACTGAGTTCCGCAACATGGTGTCAGAAAAGACAGACGGACCCCACCGGCAACGTGCGGATACTGTTTGGATCACCAGCGTCTATTCAGATGCCTGCCCCCACTGAACATGAATGAACGGAACTCGGCGTCTATGGAATAGCAAGTGGGAGGATATCTGCACCTTAGTGCGTTTAGACGAACAACCGATGGCGCGCAACGCTTGGCCATGTTTCAACACGCAGCCGGGGATGACGCGCGTTGTGTTCTAGAGACGTTACACTACGACAAAGGCGAAGATCCCATTAATTTGGAGATGCTCATTGGAAAGCAGTGAACTTTGCAAACGTCAAACCAACGTGACCTACCAGCGCTATCTTTTCTGTTCGTTCAACAGAAGCCGAAACGAATCAGTCCACGCGTACATCACAGAGCTGAAGATTTCTGCCCGATTCTTCAATTTCTGTAAATGCTCGGGCGACAGTCTTATACGCGATCGAATCGTTCTGGGAATCAATGATGAAAGTACGACAAAGCGACTTTCGCAAGTACGCAAATTATCACTACAGCAGTGCATCGATATCTGCAACATTGTGTCCTCGACCACCTATTAATACCAACAAATGAAGCTTGCAACAGATGCAGAATTGTGTACCGTTACCGAAGGCAAAACAACAAAGCCTTGTAACGTGAGACAGGAGATCTGCAAATTTTGCGCCACGCGACACCCGAGAACCGGCGAACAGTGTCCGGTGTGGGGACGTGAAAGG